AGAGAGATTAAGGATTGAGATTCAAGCATGTAGTCAGGTAAAGGACGAACAGAAGGGGGCTAAAATTGATTGATCTAAAAAAAATTAAGTCGGGCCAGGCAAGGTGGCTCACACCCGTAATCCCAACACTTTGGGAGGCCGAGGCGGGTGGATCACCTGAGGTCAGGAGTTTGAGACCAGCCTGGCCAACATGGCGAAACCCCATCTCTATTAAAAATAACAAAAATTAGCTGGGCATGGTGGTGGGCGCCTGTAATCCCAGCGACTGGAGAGGCTGAGGCAGAAGAATCGCTTGAACCCAGGAGGCAGAGGTTGCAGTGAGCTGAGATAGCACCATTACACTCCAGCCTGGGCAACAGGAGCAAAACTCCGTCTCAAAAAATAATAATAACAATAATAATAATTAAGTCATAGTAGCAAAAAAGGAGTAATATAGGCCCCAAACAAGAACTTAAGAGAAATACACATCAAAAGAGGGAAAGAGAGAGAGAAATGAACCTAGCCCAAATGAATGCAACTAATGAGATTACCTCTCTCAAAACGACCCATCTTCAGCCCATTGAGTAGATCTGTGAGAGGAGGTATAAATCCTTGGAGTTCTTTACACTGTAGGAAAACAGGACAAAGGCTGTGAGAAGACCAAGAACTGTCCACACCAGCAGTGGCTCTTCCTTCACCTCCAAATCTGGGAGTCATTACTATCCTTATAGGGTCCTTATCAACCAGCTGGGTGCTAAGCCACTCCAGGAGAGTCTCCTTTCACCTGCTTTCTCTTACCTTCTGGGCAAACAGCAGGTCTCCCTCTGTGGTACAACCTTGGATGTTTAGACTGGTCTCCAGTTCACCATCTCTTGATCTTTTCGCCCCAGATCCTGCCATAGGAGAAGCCGAACCCCGCTGTTCCGGATGAGATGGTGTATGTTGGTTACTGGAAACCTTGGATCGATGCCTGCAGCGGATAGGACCCGGGCTGGGCCGGGAACCTCCCCTCTGCCCAACAGTGTCCGGCCTGGGCCCATGGGCCCCCTTGTCCTCCCTCTCATTATCAGAGGGGAAGCCAAAGTCACTGTTCACTGGGGAGGTGGGAAAAGACGAAGAGAGAGAGTAGGAGGAATAGGAAGAAATGCTAGATGGAGAATCCATAGGTCCAGAAGCAGGGGCTGGAGAGCAGCTCCTGGAGTACCCAAAGATCGGAACCTGCAACTGAAGAGCAAAGCGAGGGAGTTTGAAACCGGAGTTTAAGTATTAGGAAATGGACTGGGAGATTGGGGTGTACTGCGTGGGATAATACTTATTCTCCCCCTCCCCAATATTACCAGTCTCAGACACAATAGAAAAAGACATTTCTACCCCCACCCGCGCCCATTAAGAACCTGGGATTCCCTCTCTGGCCGCCGCAGAGCAGCTCTCTGCCTGACGCGGCCTCCGTTCTTTTCTTCCCTCAATTCAAATACCTGACTTGAAAGACACCTTCCCCTCCGCTCGTTGTTCGCCAGGGCTGTTCGCCAACCTGAGTCCGCAGCAAGCCTCTTCACCTAAGCCATGCCACCCACGAGAGGTCAATCTGCGCACGCGAACCCACCTGGTGACCCTACAGGACCCGCCCCCATAAAGACTGGCCTCCTGCCCTCTCCCAATCTTTCAAGATCAGGATCCCTGTGCGGATCTCTCTGGGCTCGCACCTGCCACGTGATGCAAACCCTCCCAATACCAAGATCTGCATTCAGCCCCCAAATCCACTCCCAAATCCTCCCTAACAGCTCGCTTTTCCTCCGAATATCCTTACCTGTTGTCAGCCGGCTCAGCCCTGGCTCGGTTTCCAGCTCCTTCACCTTCTCTCCGGGTCTGGCTACCCACCTCCGCCTCTCAGGGGGCCCCGCCCCTTCCCCCTCCCAGACACGTGCGGCCTGGCACGTGCCTCCCCCTGCTTACACAGATCTCGCGCCCTCATTGGTTGTGTCGCCGGTAACACGTGATTCTCGTTACTGAAGTCCATAGCCCATTTGCTACAGTACAAAGGGCCTCAGCCAATAGAGGGCAGCCAGGTGATGATTGGCTGTAAGGGAAGCATTCCGTGCTCCGCCCCTACATGCGGCTGCCGGAGAGGACCCGGTGATGAGAAAAGGAGGAGGATGGAAAAAGAGTGGAAAAGAAGGGAGGGGAGGAAAAGGGCGGAGTCCGTGGCCTTAAATAGGATGGTGATGCGCCAGAGACGCGCAGCTTGAGTGTGCAGAGATTGGTTGTGCCGCTGAAGGCGTGCGCCTCCGGACGTGGGACCCCCGGTTCCGTCTTAGGAACTAACTCATCTGCCCCCTCTTTGAACACCTCCGCTCACGAGCGCAGCACGTGGAAACCATCAGTGATTTGTGTCTGCAACGTGTATGTGAGAGAATGGAAGTGTGTGACACGGTATATTCTCCCGCTCTCGGCGGCCCAGCCCTCGTGACTCTCTGGTCTCTCTTTCACCTCCCCCACCCCTTTCTCCTCCAAGCTGGGTGCCTCCTGCCCTGCTGGGTGAGGAGGGTGGGGATTGCAGCCGAGAACACCGCGTCCTCTCTGGCTCCCGCTGGGGCGGCTCCTCCGGCCCTTTTGTTACATAACCTATCACGCACGTTACCAGCTCAGATGCCACCCCGCCACGACGCTAGAGGTCAAAACGAAACTCAGTTTTTCCTGACTTTTTTTGTCCAGGCTTCTTGGGCCCGGCGTCCTGAATTATCTGATTCCAAGCACGGGGAACAGAATGGGGTAGGTCCCTGATCTCCTAGGTTATAGCTTTGTCCAGCTTCAGTGCCTTCATTTGTCCCCTAGAGAAGATTCGAAAGACTTTGAAGGAGGGGAGGGAGGCAAGTCCAGAGTTTAGAGAGTCTCAGAAATAACTGAGACGTTACTGTTGTCGTTGCGGCTTGCATTTTGAGAGTACAATGGAGAGGAGAGCAGGGCCAAGGATTGTGAGCTGGTTAAAGATAGTACGCCGCAGAGACCGCAAGGGGGCAGCCCAATTCTGATTAGGGTCCCGAGGGTAGCGATTTAAAAAAAAATTTTAAGTGAGTTTGTCCCTGCCATAATTACCAACTGCAAAAGGCACATTGTTGGACAGAGGTGTGGGTGGGGGTGGGTAGGTGTGAATATTTTAAATCTATTCTAAGTAGTTTTTGATATTTTACCTTATGTTTTAACAATGTGCTTATTCTTACAAAAAGAAAGATTCTAAAACCTCAACCCCGTTTCCCCAAGCACACTGTTTCAACACCATATTTAATAAAATAAAAGAAGAGAATTACCAATATGGACTGCGAATAAACCTGTTGTCTGTGGGTGCCCTTCTCCAGTCTTCTCCAAACTGCAGATTTTTTCAGTCCATAATGCCCTCTAATTCAGTTGTCACCCAACTCCCCTTCCAATCTACACTTGCTGCCTCTAAATCCTGGTGCTCTCTTTATTGTGACTTTAGAACAGACTCATGAAGGAGTAGATGGTAACCAGATTATTTCACTTATTTATTTTATCTTCCAATTTCCTCTTGCCAAACTCCCATCCA